GAGACAGGGTTTCTCTGTGTAGCTTTGCGCCTTTCCTGGAACTCACTTGGTAGCCCAGGCTGGCCTCGAACTCACAGAGATCCGCCTGGCTCTGCCTTCCGAGTGCTGGGATTAAAGGCGTGCGCCGCCGCCGCCACCACCGCCCAGCCCAGAACTTGCTTTGTAAACAGGCTGGCTTCCGGTTTGCAGAGATCAGTCTCCCTCTGCCTCCCCAGTGCTGGAATGAAAAGTGTATGCCACCATACCTGGTTATAATTTGTTTATTAATTTTTTAATTTAATTTCTCAAACTATATTTAATCTTACTGGTATAGTTAGATTTGAGTCTGTCGTTTGCTATATTTCTCATTGCCCCACTTGCCTTTTTTTTTCTTTTAATATTTTTTGGATTAACAAATTATCTTTGATTATACTTATGAATAATTTTTATAAAATTTGAAGTTATCTTACATAGTGCTTCAAGTATTTTTCTCTTCAGTAGTCTCAAATTGTATGTATATTTTAGCTTGTTTAAAATGACCTCATATGTTAATGATTCCTGAATTTTTATGTAGACAGTCTGGCCTTGAATTCACTGAGATGTACCTACATTAATCCCAAGTGCTGGGATTAGTGGCATGCACTGCCACACTGAACCTTGTTCTTTAGGTCGTAGAAGGTAATTGTGTTAGGTTCCACACTCTATTCCTTTTCTGAAATGTGTGGGTTCAGAGTGTTTGAGCTTCCAGAGTTTGTTGGGGTTTGGAATAGTTAGTGTAGACTTTACCAGTTAAATGTCTCAAATCTGAACATTTGAAATTTAGAATGCTCTGATAGCCATACTTTTTGAGTAATGATATAATACCTAGTTTTAGGGTTTTAAGATCATTTTGAGTTCTAAATGTTTTCAAATAACATGTTCAACCGATTGTATTGAGTGCTGTTAATTAGTAAATCTTTATGCTAGGTCTTAATACTTGGTAATTCTTTTTTTTAAAGCTTTAAACCTCAGCTTAGGTTGTCTTTTGTGTTTCCCCAGAAATGTTAGACTATAAATTTGTTAGTTCATTTTAAAAATTTGGAATTGTATGTTAATCCTAATCAAGGAGGATTGATTTGACAACATTGACTTTTTTTTTTTAATTTATAAACATGTCCCTTTATTTTCTTTTGTATTCTTTCAATGGGAACAAAACAGAAAGATTTTACAATCTTAAGCCTGAGACCTAATATTGTATCTGTTCTCATTAAAGCAATATGGTATTAATACAGTATTATAAATGACCCAGATGAATATATTAGAGTGCCTAAAGCCAAGAATATCCGTTTGCCTTGTTTTGTTTAACTTGATAAATGCTTTATAGTGTAAGTTAGTACAGTCTTTGTATTATTTTACTGAATATAGCTGTCTTTCTCACAGGTGTGGACCGTGTTTGAGGATTGCTCCAGCATTCAGTTCTATGAGTAATAAATATCCACAGGCAGTTTTCTTGGAAGTAGATGTACATCAGTGCCAGGTAAGGCAGAAGAGCATCCCCCCCCTTTTTTTAATGAAACAGATCAAAATCCAACATTAATATTACCCATTATGTCTTTATTTACATGATGCTTACTCCTTAGAAGACAGGAGAATGTTAGGATTGTTATGAATGCCGTTTTGACTACATTGGTTAGGAAAGTATTATTTCAAGTTTTTTTAAATATGAGGTGAAATTAATACAATGTTGTTAAAGTAATAGGTTACCTAGTAGTTCTGTATCTTCTGCTGAGGCATTGGCTTATTGATCATAAAGGTATAGTGGAGAATTTTTGATAGTAGTTTGATTTAATTTCATTACTTTATAATATTATCTTCAAGTTCCACGTGCCTACCCTCCCCTTAAAGTGGTTATACTTTGTGGGTTAAGAACAATGCATGAGTCCTGGCAGTGGTTCACACACCTTTAATCCCAGCACTCGGAAGGCAGAGCCAGGTGGATCTCTCGAGTTCGAGGCCAGCCTAGGCTACCAAGTGAGTTCCTGGAAAAGGTGCAAAGCTACACAGAGAAACCCTGTCTTGAAAAACCAAAAAAAAGGAAAAAAAAAAAAGAACAATGCATGAAAGAAAGTTCAGTTCCTCTTCATTCTGAATACCACAGTTTTGTTTTACCTGCTGCAGTAAAAGTAGCTTCAATTTGCATTTCCTTAATGCCCTTATTAACTAATTTTTATCTTAAGTATCTCATTTGTCAAGTTGCCTATTCCAAGCACTTTTCTTTTGGATGTCTTTCTTGTTTTTACTTTCTTGTGTTTGCCCTGTGCTAGAGGTAAAGTACTTTGTTATGTTCTGTAAATATTTTTGCCCAATCTGAATTGTTTTAAACTTTTTTTTTTTGGTTTTTTGAGACAAGGTTTCTCTGTGTAGCTTTGCGCCTTTCCTGGATCTGCTCTGTAGACCAGGCTGGCCTTGAACTCACAAAGATCCACCTGCCTCTGCCTCCCGAGTGCTGGGATTAAAGGCGTGCGCCACCACCACCTGGCGTTTTAAACTTTTTTAATGTTAGGAAAAACTTGTATAAGTCCAATATTACACACTTTAGTTTTGTTTACCTACATTAAATGTTAATAGATGGTATCACAGTCCTTATTTTAGGTATATTAGTTTATGAAAGAAAAATAATGTCATTATCTTTATGTTGAATATGTTGAAATGTACATATCGACTTAACTAAAATATATTATTGACTTTACTTACTTGAGTTTTTTATTATGCATACCAGGGAATAACTCATATTTCTGTCTCACTTTTTTTAAGGTAGTGCTGTGACATTTAGAGAAGATATCCCTTAGTTACCTTTATGCTTTTTCCTTTGAATGATGTCTCTTCTGTGTCTCTTCATACAACCTGCATATGTGAGGGGGCAGATTTGCTGTGCTGGTTTTTAAATCCTGTCATGAAAAGTTTCAACAGGGGTGCTCTGGTGTTTATTGATTTCCATTTCGTATTAATTTGTAGAACTAGAGCAAAAATGTAAAAGATAGCTATTATTTTTATGATGACCTGAAATCGGTTCTGTAAGAGTAGAAATTGAATGAGGGCAACCCTTTTTTAAGACAAAAGACACTGTCCTGTCCCCTTTTTTTGACAGGTGGTATAGATTGGCTCTTCTTTTTCAGGTGGATACTTTTTCTTAGCAGCAGTAGTTTATATTGACTCATCATTACCTTTCTGGTTTTTGTTTGTTTGTTTTCTTTTGAGACAGTCTTATTTAGCCCTGGCTGGCCTGAACTCTGTAGACCAGGCAGGGCTCAAACTCAAGAAATCTGCCTGCCTCTGCCTCCCAAGTGCTGGGATTAAAGGTGTGTACTACCATGCCCAGCCTTTGGTTATTTCTTTTTGAAAAATTCATACTGTGTAATTATAAGAAAGCTGCCTGCCATAAAGCACAATTTCTGTATTAGAAGGTAGTTCTGTTGTATAAAGTATATGACAATAAAACTAATGTTTTAAAAAACAAAAACAGCTGTTCTCTATTGTGGATAGACCTGTATCTCCATAGGAACTCCCTTACAGTAGGTCTACCTTTTAAAAAAGATTTTTTTTCATTTGTTTCTTGGGGTTTTTTTTTTTTTTTTTTAATATTCATGGGTATTTTGCTTGTATGCCTGACTGAGTACCACCTGTGTGCCTGTGTCCTGCAGAGGCCAGAAGAGGGAATTAGATCGTCTGGGACTGGAGTCATACAGGTGGTTATGAGCTGCCATGTGGGTGCTAGAAATTAAACTCCAGTCCTCTGGAAGAGCCCAGTCTGTTCTTTCTCAAATAACAATTAGGAATACATTGTTTTACCTTTCTGGTTAGGACTTGGGCTGTTCTAATTGGCTTAAAGTTGTAGAATGAAAAATCAAAATGGTAGATTTTTTTTAATTTTATCACTGTTTAATTTGCCAATTCTAGGGAACAGCTGCCACCAACAATATATCAGCGACACCTACATTTTTGTTTTTTCGAAACAAAGTGAGAATTGATCAGTATCAAGGAGCAGATGCTGTGGGACTAGAAGAGAAAATCAAGCAGCATCTGGAAAATGATCCTGGAAGCAATGAGGACACAGACATTCCGAAGGGCTACGTATGTCATCAGAAGATTAAAAACAGAGTCTTAAATTGGGTGTTATTTGCTTGAAATGAAAGTTACTGTTTTCTTACTAATTCAAAATATTTTCAAATGGAGATTTTTCAAACTAAAGTGGACTATTGAGTTTTGTCTGTCTGTTATAATCTTGTCTACATTGTAAATCACTTCCCCCTAAATTTCTTCTGCTAAATATACTTCCACTTGAAATTAATTTCTAAACTATTAAGTAGCCATATTCTAATGCTTGTCTTCCTTCTATGAGTGGAAAACATAGCATTGACAAATACTTCTTATTTTTATAGTTATGTAAAATGGCTTCAGTGTACTGAATGCCCATGTTACTTAGTTTCCTATAGTCTAGTTTTGTTTGGTTTAGAATCAAATGTAGCTTTAGTATTCAATGTATTTTAATAGTAAGGTACTATTTTTTTTAATTGAGATGAAGGCTGAAGAAGTCAAAGGATAATATTTTGAAGTTGTATAGCATAAATAGTTCTAATACAGTTGTGCATGGTTTTAGATTATTCAGGAGGGAAGCAGAGTTCAGAAATAGTATTTTATGGTCTACACTTGTTTCTCAAGTTGAAGCTACTACATTAAAAATTTTATATTAGATTCAGTAAAGCAAATCACTGTGTTCCTGTCTGTAAACCCTTTAAATTCAAGCTGAAAAACTAGTCAGGTAGACACAAGAGCTTCTTTTGTGTGCAGGTTGTATGTGGTAATCTTTAATTATTTTTCTGTTAGTCTATACAATTAGAATTTATTTAAAATAACACCCAATCAGAACGTGTAAACAGTGTTTTTGAGCCAGGGTTGATAATTACTGAACTAGGTCATTGTACTTGTCATTGTGGTGTACAAGATAAAGTTGATTGACAGGTCATCCAAGCAGGAAGACTAGAAAACACATTTCTCATTTGTGCCCCTGAGGCTGCTTTTGGGATGAAGTCGTTCTGCAGCCTGGGAACTGGTGGCTGAGGGAAAGAGAAGGTGCAGGGACTGGTTACACTTGGTGATCTCACAGTGCTGTGTTCAGAAAGGATTAGACACAAGTTCCCTGGGACGCTTGCCCAGGCTCCACTGCAGTGTCAGTGATTTTAAACTGGTGTGTCCTAAAGAAAAGCAACCTCCAAATTCCTAAAAAAAAATTGCTTAGAATCTTGTGCCCTTATGACCTGCAAGGGGGGAGGAGGGGCGGTGTTACCTATAGCTAAGCTAGGGATATTCTACTAATGTGGTAATTTCACAGTCATCATCTTTGATTTTAGTCCTTGTAGTGCCTGGACCTGAACTGAGGTTGTGTTGGTCTGAGCCTTAGTTCTGTCCAGCTTGGGATCATCCCTGGGTCAGGCTTTAATTATCTCACAGGAAGCCATATACTCTATAAAACATTTTAAACACAGTTAAGAATGAGGAAGATGTAGGAAAATGCTTGCTATAAGGGAAAGGACTGAGCCCGGTTCTTATCTGGGTGTCATGAAAGGAGGGGGGGCGCCATAGGGGCTCACTCCATAGAGTCAAGTGAAAGTACAGCCGGGTGGTGGTGGGGCACACCTTTAATCCCAGCACTCGGGGGGGGGCAGAGCCAGGCGGATCTCTGTGAGTTCAAGGTCAGCCTGGTCTACAGAGTGAGATCCAGGACAGGCAGCAGAACAACACAGAGAAACCCTGTCTCAACCCCCCCAAAAGAAGTGAAAGTACAGAGTACTGCTGAGGATGAATGGGATTAGGCTGCTGGTGCTTGCTAGCTTGCCCTTGTAGAAGTCCTGGAGACAGGGGTCTTATTCTTTTGATGATCATATTTGTTGGTGGTGTTAGTTTCTTTGTGTTTTTTTTTTTTTTTTTTTTTTTTTTTGTGTGTGTGTGTGTGTGTGTATTTGTTTTTGCTGTGTATGGTTTGGTTTTGTTTGAGATGAGATCTCATGTATGTCTAGGTTGGCCTCAGACTCACTCTGTAACCAAAGTGGACCCTCAGCTCTGCACTTCTTACATCTACTTCCCAAGTGCTGTCTTACAAGTATCCTGGGTCCTTGAGAGAGGCTTCTGGGCTACACGAAATACATAGTTACAGTCATAAGCTCTTTGTAGTAAGTGTCCTGGGGAATACCAAGGCCTACAATTTGGGTTTGTAATACCTTGCCATGTAGGCTAAGCCTAGATTTTGTTTTAATAATTAGTGATAGATTTTAGTCAGAAATTCAAGTGGAAAGGCCAGTATAAAAATTTCAGTAACTGTTTTAAAGCAGACATTTTCTTCAAAATCACTGAATCTAGAAAGAACCATAGATCCGAGTATATATTTTTTATGCTAAAACCAAATGTTTTGCCTAAGTTCTTGATTTCTTTTATTTTAGATGGATTTAATGCCTTTTATTAACAAAGCTGGTTGTGAATGTCTTAATGAAAGTGACGAGCATGGCTTTGACAACTGTTTACGAAAAGACATGTCCTTCTTGGAATCTGACTGTGACGAGCAGGTAATTCAGTGCTTATGTTAAACCTGGCAGGCAGGCACTGTCACTATATGAGCTCTTGTTTCCTGTAGTGGTCTCGCCTCATGGCTTATGTCTCTCTTCTCCTGTTAGCTGTCAGTTCCTTTGACTCCGTCCCCTCACTATCTACATCCATTTTCTTCTCTGTGTCCTGTGTGAGCTGCCATGTGCTCGGAAGAACATTGCAGAGCTCATGGCTGGCTCCATTGCTGCTTAGATCACCACCAGTACTTGGTCATTGTTTTAATACTGCTTCCCGTGTTTTCCCTCCCCAGATAGTTGGGGTCTGAGCAGTAGAGATTGGTTAGATAAGCCTTCCCATTGAAGACTGTCTCCTTAGTCCCAGATAAAAACAGACTTCTTTTCCCTCTGTTGCTTTTGCCCCAGAGAAAGTCGGGTAACCACCTTAATCACACCATCTTTATCTTCTGGGTGTTATTTTTCTTAATTTACTTTCTGTTCCACTGTGTGGGTTTTTTTCCTCTTCTATTCGGTCACAATGGTTTATAAAGTCTAAGTCTACATATTTGTTGTACAATACTTCTTGCTCTGTCGACCAGGCTGGCCTCGAACTCACTGAGATCTGCCTGGCTCTGCCCCCCGAGTGCTGGGATTGAAGGCATGTGCCACTGCCACCCGGCATGAATGAGTTTTTTGTCTGCATTTATGTCCGTATATCACATTATGCCTGGTGCCCTTGGAGGTGTGAGAAGAGGGTGTTAGGTCCCTGGGACTGGAATTACAGATGCCTGTGAACTACCCTGTAGGTGCTGAGAATTGAATGTGGGACCTCTGGAAGAGCAGCCAGTGGTCTTAAATGCTGAGCCATCTCTCCAGCCCCAGATCTTAAGTTTACTGCGTTAATTTTTTTTCTGCCATTCTTTATGTAAGTCATTGATGGTGGTTGTTCCTAACTGCCACACTAATGAAGTTAATTTCAGCTTACAGAATCTCTGTTACAATGGTTTTGTTAGATGAACTAGGTTTGTGCCACATTTATTTTAGCTCCCCTTAGCCATTTTTTTGTATTGATGGTGTTGACAAATCATTTTATAATTAAACTGTTTCCTTCACAGCTACTTATTACCGTGGCATTCAATCAACCTGTTAAGCTTTATTCCATGAAATTTCAAGGACCAGATAATGGTGAGTAAAGGACAGTTAATTAAAAACTGACTTTCTACTTTGTTAAGCCTCTTAGCTTACATTTAAAACCTTTTCATTAAATAGAGGTCGGTCTACCATGCGTTGTTCATTGAAGATTATAAATGGCCAAATAATGTGGAATTAATTGTTAAAGTAAAAATGTTTGTTTCCCCTTAATTTACAGAGTACCGATTTCTTCCTCCCATTTATAGATTTTTAAGTCATTTTTAGAATCAAACAGTTGGCCAGGCAGTGGTGACACCAGTACTCAGGAGGCAGACGCAGGAGGGTGAGTTCAAGGCCAGCCTGGGCTACAGAGTGAATTCCAGGATAGCCCCAGAGCTACACAGAGAAACCCTGACTGAAAAAAAAACAAAAACAAAAAAGGAAAGATTGTTTTCAAACTGTTCTTGTTCTGGGTGATAAACTGAGGCTCCAGGCCCTGCTTTTTGTGTAGTACACTGTCATGTTCATGCATAGCAGTGTAGCTTTACAGATGCGGGTTTATGGTTCATAAATGACCAGGTCTTTTTCTTTTTCCAACTCCCCCTCCCATTACTGTTGATTTTTTTTTTTTTTTTTTGAGAAGGGAGTTAGAAGTGAGGGGCTTTGTTTAGTTTGATTTTCTTTTTTAACTGATTGACAGAAACAGCCAAGGCTTTGGGTTTTGTATTTTTTTATTCTTTTTTTTTTTGAGACAGAGTCTCTTTATAGCTCTGCTGTCCTAGATCTCTTTATGTAGACCAGGATCACAGGAAATCTGCCTGCCTCTGCCTCCTGAGTGCTGGGATTAAAGGCATATGCTACCATGCCTGGCCAGGCTTGGTTTAATATTGTTTACTTATTTGTTTTTATATGCTTTCATGTGTTAATCTTTTTAATAATAAAATTTTATGAAGTATTGTGTAAGTAAATTCTATAGAAATTAGTGTATTTAATCAGCCACATATATGAGTTTTAAATCATATACTGGCAGTGAAGGAGTTAAGTAGTGTAACCATGGGCATATTCCTTATCTAATACCTAAGAAAAGTAAAAGATGGTAATTTTATGATTAATTCCTTTTTGGATAAGTGTTAATGCTAATGATGTTTTCCTTATGGGTAACAAATTGTATCAGTTGTTGGCAACCATAAGACTTAGTTACTGTTTATTTTATGAAAGGTTGTTCACTTGCATATACTACCAGAATCCATTGCCACCTTCCATATAGCTCCTCAATGATAGTGTCATATTTATTATAGTATAGTTTTCTTTTTGTTTTAAGATATTTTTAAGAATCTCACCATGAAGCCCTAGCTGGCCTGGAGCTTGCTATGTACGTCTGCTTGCCTCTGCCTCCCAAGTGCAGGGATTAAAGAAAGGTGTGCACCACCATACCCTGCTCATGGCACCTCTTTTGACATTGAGGGCAGAAACTTGTTTGTGTATGTGTGCGTGTGTTATTTTCCTAAATATTCATATTTAGCAGATATTTCTAATATAGAGTGGAACTAGGCTAAGAAGATAGCAGCAATGAGTATTGGAGAGAAAAGTATTGACTGTCAATATTCAGATTCTTAGAGGTTTAGTAGAGGTTTTTGAAGATATGTATGTTGGTGTGTTCCAGTATATATGTGGCCCCACACAGGTTTCTGTATAAGATGCATTTGATAATAAGAGAAACGTATACTGTGTAGTTTTTAGCACTTCAATGTTTTTCTTTAAACCATTCCATAGGTCAGGGTCCAAAATATGTAAAGATTTTTATCAACTTACCCCGGTCTATGGATTTTGAGGAGGCAGAAAGGAGTGAGCCAACTCAAGCTCTGGAGCTGACAGAAGATGACATTAAAGAAGACGGCATTGTTCCTCTTCGTTATGTTAAATTTCAGAATGTTAACAGTGTAACTGTGAGTAGCATTTCCTTATTATATCTTCTCTGGTTGGTGGGCGGCAATGCTGTCCTGTGATTCTAGGTGATGCTAAATAATCTTTTAAAGTAATATTTGTCCAATAAATTTGAGGAATGGAGGATGGTTCATAGGATCTGTCCTTTCTAGAACATTTACATTTTTTATTTAAACTGGAGATATTTATGATTACTTTGTCTCTGTTGGTGATGAGTGCTGGTACCTGTGTGAAAATCCTGTTTAATTTTCTGGATTGTTGTCTTTCAGTGTAGTTACTGTGATATTACTAAAGCTGGCTCTAAAATTTTTTTTGAGACAGATTCTCACTCTATCCCAGGTTGGCCTGAGGTTTACTGTATAGCCCATGCTGGCCTTGAACTCACAACAGTCCTTCTGTCTCAACCTTCCAAGTGCTGGAATTGTAGACATGAGCCACTAACTATATCCAGCTAAAAGTGACATTTTGAAAAAGATAGTTTTACATTTTAAAGGATAGCAAAGGTATATCTGAGTATTGAATGGTGCCAGAGATGATTCTAAGTGATGCATCTGTGAAAAGAAAGGAGAAATCAGCCACAGAGCTCTGACTTCAAGTCATGCCACACTGATAAGATACCTTGATGTCATTGGATGATCAGAGAGCATTGTTAAGTTCTTTTTAGGAGGGTTTCAATTAGACATAGACAGTTCTGTGATCATATGAAGCTGTGTGAGCAAGCTGAGCTTTCATTGAGACATTTTATCTAAATGAAGTTGAAGACTGAAGGTCACATAATAGTAGAATACTGTCACTCAAGACACTATGCATTATATCCATACATTTAGTCAGTGACCTAAGACACATAAGGCATACCTATCACTCTTATGATGATGAATGTTGAAATAAAGTAATAGTTTTGATTAATTTAATCAAAGAAAGGTGGATTTTAAAAACAGGTAAGTGTAAACAATATAAGCAGGAGTACTCGTATTTAAAAAGCCAGATATAGGGGCTGGAGAGATGGCTCAGAGGTTAAGAACACTGGCTATTCTTCCAGAGGTCTTGAGTTCAATTCCCAGCAACCACATGGTTGCTCACAACCATCTATAATGAGATCTGGTGCTCTCTTCTGGCCTGCAGACAGAACACTCACTGTATACATAATAAGTAATTAAATCTTAAAAAAAAAAAAAAAAAAGCCAGATATAAGTAAGCTGGGAACTGATTTAATACTGTATTTATTATATTTAAATTGATTAGATAAACTCTTTGAAAGGAGTCTAGGGTTGCCAATGAAAACAATAAAAACTGACTGGTAAGTAATGTCTTAGAAAGAACTATGTACATTATCCAAGGAAGAGAGACCGTATTTTTTCCTTTTATTGAAAATATATTTTTTCCTTATACAGTATATCTTGGTTACAGTTTCTTCTCCCTCTACTCCTCACAGTTCCTTCCCACATCCCCTTCCATCCATGTATCTCCTATTAGAAAAGAACAGGCTTCTAAGAGAACAAAACATAACAAAATAGAATGTAATACAATGAAACAAAAACCATCACATCCAAGTTGGACAGGACAAATCAACAGAAGGAAAAGTGCCCAAGAGAAGGCACTCGTGTCACAGATCCACTCATTCACACACTCACCCATAAAAACACTAAGCTTAAGCTGTACTATGTATGCAGAGGACCTAGTGCAGACTCATGCAGGCCCTGTGCTTGCTGTTCAGTGAGAGACAATATTTTTAAATAGAGAACATTTTTAAATTGCTGTATTTTTTTTAATGGAGGAATTTTTTTTCCCCAAAATCCAGTATAAGTAATGCTTCTATTCTTTATATACTGAGGGAAATTTTAAAATAGAGAAATTAGAGTTGGGCCTTAAAGCACATCAGAGGGCAGAGCATAGCCTTAGGAACAGATTTCCAATGTCATTTCTTCTCCTGTTCTAGGAAATGGAATAGGTGCACGAATATTAGAAAGAATACAACTACAGAGATTTTCCACTGTTGAAAGATTGTGATTTTAGTAAAATTATCAACAGCAGTCTACCCATTGTAATGATGAATTTCACACTCTTTTAGTGTTCTCTGTAAAGGATTTAATTATGACTTCTCTGTACCATCACACTAAATTACTATGAACTTGCATATGTGGACATCTTGCCAGGGCATCTCTAGAGAAGGTGAGAATTGCAGTACAGATAGAGAATGGGTAGTTTCTTAGGACTACTAGTGTAAGTGAATGAAATCTGGATTAATCCTTACAAAGGTGGAAGGTATTTTTATTAAGAAAGCAAATAGATTAAATCTAAAGCATGCTCATGAAAAATAGATGATAATTATAAACTATAAATTGATTTTTTTTTTCAGTTATTTGTTCAGTCTAATCAAGGTGAAGAAGAGACAACGAGAATTTCATATTTTACTTTCATTGGTACTCCAGTCCAGGCAACAAATATGAATGACTTCAAACGAGTAAGTTTGTTAAAATGATATTTAAGGCCAATGCAAATAGTTTCAAAGGAATAATTCCTTATATTTTAGTTGTCATTGCTTTTAAACATGAAGATTCAAAACTGTCTCATGGAAGGTTAAATGAATATAACATGTTGAGATATTCAACTAAAAGAAGTCTTTATTTAGTTAAGTGTAACTCATAATTGATAGAATACATATTAATGATATCTGAGTAAGAATAATAATCTCATTACAGAAAATGCTTAGGAATAATAGGGAATTATAGTTAAATTATTACTTGAAAGGCATAGTAAGATTTTTAAGGACTTTGCTGATAATAATAATATAATAATATAATATTTCATATATAATAATGAAAATGTATTTACTTGAATAATTTTATTATGAAAGAATTAACACATGGACATGTTATAACTTTCCAAACATTATATGTGTCTTGAAAAGACACATTTCAGCAAATGCATTTAAAGTGATTGTGCAAGTTTTCTCCTATTTTTATAAATACATGTCTGTATTTTTGAAGGATGCAGCTCTAAAGGTTTCCATGGAGCTTTCTGGGTACCTAGGACTTGGAGGAGCAAGGGTCAGCCTCTTCCTGTGCTTTCTGGTGCAACTTCTGACTAGTAGCAGTTGTGTGGGTGGCTTTTAAATACACAAACCCAGATCATAGAGGTGCCACTGAAAGCTGTCTTAGTGCCAAGCCTGCAGCTGTGTACAAGAAAACGTGTGGCCACACAGAAAACACTGGCCATGGTGCTTCTCCTGGCAGTGCTTGGCCAGTGGTCTAGGACTAATTACAAGGAATGAGTTTCCTTAGAGCTGCCAGTTCATGGAGGAGGAGATTCCCAGCACACTTCATGCAAGGAATTGTTTCATGGAATTACAACAGCCTGAGAACTCTTTCTCTTCCAGTGATGTCTGCAGACCTGATTTAATTTTAGAAAATTGATTCAATTGTTTAACAGTAAATGGTCCTTTGAGATACATGTTGGCTTTAAAAAAAAAAGGCCTGGATAATACATATTTTTGCTGGTTACTTTTCAGTCACTCTTACTGTCTCATAGCATAATTAAGTTTTGGAAGCTGCAGGAATGATTTTGTACTTAGCTTTGCCATGCCCAGATGTTTAGTATGTGTATAATGCTTGGTCAGAAGAAGCCAGTATCAAGCAGCTTCATTTTTACCCTCTAGGATGTATTTTCCGGGGAAATGTGTGGGCAACAGAAATGGTTTGGCTGTCTGCTTTTCTGGCTTGAATTAAATGCCATTGGCATTGGTTTTAACTGTTTGTTGCAGTTTGTTACAAGCCTAGTTGTTTTGTAAGATTTGTGACTGTAAGTCAGGTTAATATCTTCCTGTCATTAAGTTTTGCTTCAGTATCCTATTGTACCTTCAGCTTATGCTACTCAACTTCTGTTTAATGCAAGTGACGTTCTCTTCTGCATTTTGACCAGTCAGCTTTTCAGTTGTTATTTTTCTGGTTTGCCTTAATGACTGTCTTACATATTTGTCTCACATCCGTCTAGCTGCTTGGTCTGTTCTCACTGATTGCCAAAGCTGCTTTTAGGGGGTGCACTTGCTTGAGGGTATTTGTTTCATATCATTTGTTTACTTTACCTTCTTCACCTTATCTAAACCATGAAAAAGCGGTTCTTTACTTTTCAGTCTCAGGTATCATTTAAATATGAAAGATGATTGAGGATCAGGAAGAGTTTTTATTAAGATATTTATGTAATAGTTAATCTGGGAATCCAGGTATGGTGGCTCATACCTGTAATTTCACCACTTGGAAAGTTGAGGTAGTATGATTGCTATCAAGTTTGAGGCCTCCCTAGGTTTCATAGGGGATTCAAAAAGAAAAGTTGAATAGGAAAAAGTTTTAAATTATAATTAATAAATCCATCATATATTAGCAACAGTATTTTTAATATTTTTAAGTAAGATAGAACTAATTATATCACTTTCGTCTTTGACTCCCTCGGGGCCCTCCTATTTTGAAGTGCATTGGCAAAAATCTCTCGGGCTTCTAAACACCCTCAATCTCAAGTTGATAGCCTCTTTTATTATATTTAATACATACTCTATATGTATATATTTAACAATCTGCTGGGTCCATTCTTGTTCTTTGTGTGTGTATGACGACTGAGGACTCAGCATCAGACAACCAATAAGAGAGTTCATCTCTGGAAAGAGGCTAAGTCTCCTTCTCCCAGAAATTAATAGTTCCCGTAGTTTTCTGACTAGGAGTTGGACCCTGCAGAATTTTCCTCCTCCTGCATTAATAGGTCCATTGCTTTTGCTATTGTTCCTGTCTTGTTTATACAGCCATTTCTAGAAGACAGTTTCACAGCAGACTTCTGATACTGTCTCTCAGAGTCTTTCATCCCTCGTCTTCCGCAGTGTTCCCTCAGCCAGAGAGGCAGGAGCTGTGATGTAGCTATATCCACTGGAGCTGGCTCCCCACGATCCATTGATCCCTGCATTAGGTTCAGTTGTGTTTTTCTGTGATGGTTTCCATATTCTGTAAGGAGAAGCTGTGATGAGGTGTGGTAGTCACACTTACCTGTGGATGTAAGGATGAGATTTAGGGTGTGGTAAGGATTATGTTGGTCTAGCAAAGTGTCAGTAATGGATGCTTCTCTAAGATCCATGACCTCACTAGCCCTGGGAAGCAGACTAGGTTCCAGTTAGACAGCTGTTGGTTGCCACCAACATGTGACTGCCACTTCTTGCACTCTTATGTATATTTTGCCATGCTGGTGCTTGTGGTTCATAGGTGTTGCAGCTGGATGGGCTGATTAGTTGCTTCCCTCCCTTCTTTGATAATTTTCGTAGTATTTTCTGGAATCATGAAAGTTAGACCACAGGAAGAGGCTTTCAGGTCAGATCCAGCTCAAGTCATTTGAGTCATGTATTTTCAGTGTGTGGTTTTCAGCAATAGGGTCCAACCTTCAACCCCTGAGAGGTAACCAAGGGCTACATTGGTCGTCTATATTGTTTTGGGAGTCACTTGGACTACGCTGACCAAGCCTTCAAAGGTTTCTTGTGTCTGGTACTGAGATTTTTGTTAGTCTATGGTTTTTGTGGGTTAACCCAAGTAGTTTAACTTCTTTTAAGATGTGTGTGTATGTGTATACTAATATATTTTGTATAATTTTAGGGAAATATAAAATATGATTCCTCGAGATAAATAACCACCTTGGTGTTACTTATCCCTCCTCCTCCTGTATTGATTTCCCTCCTCCTCATTTGGAGCCCCTCCCATTTCCTACTTCATATCCCCTGTGTTCCTTATTAAAAACGCAGTGAATTTTGGATTCTAGCTTTGGAACAGTAATGCATTTGACTTTCCTGCTCCTGTATTACCATGCCACGGCAGTATTGTCCCTATTTGTTGTAACAAGATTGTGTTCTTACAAGACAAAGTATTCTCATGTATTTCCAGCCCAGTGATATTTTTCTTTTTCACAACCATCTTTCCTTGTACAATTTAGTCAGTCTGATATTAAAAGGATCTGTGTTGTGATTTTTAAATTTTCAAAGTATACGTGGCATGTATTCTATAGTCAGTGAAGATAGATTTGATAACTTCTGAAGTGGAGAGAGATCTATGTAAAATGATTTACTGGATCATGAAGTAGAAAGTTTTAAGTATTTTCAGTGTATATTCTGTTGTGTGAGTTATTTGTAGATGATTTTAGTTTTCAGCATGTCACTGACCTCCCCCTTACGTCACTAAGTTGACAGAAGCCAAGGTAATATTAATAAATATTGGTTGTGGATAGCTACTTTAGATGACTTTGCATGCTGTTACAGCTTTATAAGTTCACTTTTAGATTTGCTAGAATAGAACACACCCTCTATCTGTTTTGGCCCTCAAAGGCATCATGCATACTTTGGCTATTTGCTGTAAATGCATTCTTTTTGGTACAGCATGAAAAGCTTGCAATTTTAATTTAGAATAAATATTTTCTTTGCTAAAATAGGCCTTTTACATAGATTGCTTTGTATTAAAATACAGGTGTGCAAAAGAGAAAATTGGGGCTTTTGCTTCTGAGGAAACAAGGTGCATGTGAAAAGTATACCACGTCTTTATCACTTTTTATAAAAATAGACTTTTCTAAACTGGCCATTTACCACATACGCTATTTTTATAACATTTCTGTTTGTTTATTTTTCAGCTTTTTTAATACAACTCAATGAACTAAACCAGAAGATTTTTTTTTAATGAAGTAATACACAGATAGACTGTCTCCCTGTACCTCCCTTCCTTGCTTCATTGCTCATCTGTCACCTGCTCTCACCCTCCCCATGTCCTTCCTCAGTTGTCGCTGCGAGATTTCTTCAGCCTCAGCATCTGGATCAGCCTTCTTGTTACCTAGATTGTCTCCACCACCTCCTCCTTCAGATCTCATCCCACTCATGACTCTCAGTTGGCCCTTTATTTTGCTTGCAATTAGGTGCCTTAATTTTCTTACCATATTATGTTGCTCACAAGGCAGTTTTGTTTTTGTTTTTTTAACCTTCTGCTGTTTCTTATTTAATTGTGTTCAGTACTTTGAGAAATAATTTTGGAGTAAAACTTAAATTTTTTTAAAATGCTTTCAAGTTTAATTAGTTGAGTAATATTTTCATCCATATTAAAGTTTTATATTTTAGGAACAGGAGAGTTGTTTTGGAAACTAAATATAAGTTGTTTGTTTGTTTTTGTTTTTTGTTTTTTTTCAAGCTAGAGCTAGTGTTATAGACTCCTTAGGTTTTAGTTGCAAATTGTGAGTTTTCTCCTTGGAGCATTAGCCACAAAATCTTTTTGTGGTTGTTTTCTCTCATGCTTTACCCATGTGAGCTCAAGTCCAGCTGAAGGATGTATGGACTAAACAGGCTGGGTTAAAACACTTAATGCAGAAAGAAGATCAATGACTTCTTTACTGACTGAAAGTTTTTAACATCTGATTTTGATGTACCTAGACTTTGGTTTATCTGAGGTGTAACGTAAAGACTTAAGACAGAATGAAAGAGCTTTATGTTTGGGGTAAGAATCCGCATGGAATGCTGAATTTCTTCTTTTTTTACAGAGAATACATATTGGCAAGTTGAGAGTTGTCAACCTGTGAAACAGTATGCAGACTTGCATCTTCTACTGTATCACATCTTCTAAAATTTTGTTTTAATATTAATTGTTTTCTTTTGCTTAATCTAATAGCTCTATGTTTTGCATTTCCTAAGTAATATAGTGGTCAATAATGTTGTCATTGTGTATCAGCTAAAATTCACTTATGGTACTGGTGGTACCATCTCCCCTGCATTCTGGTGTATTTTAAAGCCCCGTTTTTCTTACTCTTGTCCACTTTTCTCTTTTCTGATGCTATTGTCCGTTCTCAGCTATTCTACCATAGTTTGCATGGACCAAAGAGGAATTTCCTTAAAAGTTTTTCCTGGATTGAGTGAAAAAACAAACTACCACAAAAACTCAAAAGCATTAGCTTTCTCTGGTTAATAATTCTTGATGGAAAGAGTTTTTTGAGAATGACATTGACTCAGCTATTTTCTATCACAGACCAGACATGTATTAATGATCTATAGACATCACCATTATGGACAGAATCACTTTAAAATAAGAAACTTAGATTAATGCATGTATATTCATCTTTTTCTGTACAAATATACATGTAGTACATTGTAAGGGGGTTTCTTTTGAGACATTTATGTTGTGAAAATATATTAACTAAGGATAAACTCTATTCTTTAGATAAATTACTCTAGAACAAAGCCAACAGAGATTGTTTCATTCATGACTTATTGGTAGATACCAGGTTTTTCTTTGTTTTCGTTTTTTTTTTTTTTTTGTGCTAGGACATTTCTAGGATTTGTGCTAGGACATTTTTAGGAACTAGGGTATTTTTATAGACCTTCAGAACTAGATAGATTTTTTTTTTTAATTACTCAGATGCAAGGTTTATTTTTTACATTTCTTATAGACCATTTCTAGCAACCAGTTTTTTTTTTTTTTTTTTAAAGCTGGAAAAGAACTCATTATTTTCAGTCTTTTTCATTTCATGTTTACATATTGAAGGAAATATCTAGAAACCCATCAATGGGCATGAAGACGTGAATTTAGTGTATTCTTTTAAATACAGATTATTTTGTAATTGTCATTTGATTTCTAATTGTTTAAAACTAGTATACCAAGAATGTTTTACTCATGGCATCATCTTTTTTTATTAACTTCTCTAAACTGTCAACCTGGTTTGGAAAAATTATATTACTTAAAACAATTTCAAAAATAGCTTGCATGTGTTAATTCCTTGTGTTTAGTGGGAAGGGTGTCACAGTGTGCTGCAACAGTCCAAGCACAGTGCATGCGGAGAGGTTCAAGGATTAAAAATTAATACAAGGACCAAAGTGATTTGAAATCATTACCACGCTAATATTTTTTTAAACATAATTTGGAATCATTAAGTTGTACATAATTTGTTTTGTTTTGTTTTGTTTTTGTAGGTAGTTGGCAAAAAAGGAGAAAGCCATTAGGTTACAAAAGACACTGGAAGACTTACTGCAGTCAGATTTGCAGCTCCTGGATAATTGCTTGATTCTCTTCGGAAACTGTTCATCTTCATTTGTTGCCATTACCAGTAAATCATTGCTTTTATTCAGATGGCATCACTAGTGTTTCTGTTGTAATCTTGATACATGCAGTTGTAAATAAAAGTCACTACTTTTGCCAAGCTTACATTTTGTCATTCTATATAAATGCATTCTCTCTCTCCTTTTTATTTGAATATTGACTAACTTTTTGTTTTAGAAGAGCTCTGTCTGGAATCACATTGGCTAAAAGCTAGTCTGTCTCTAGAGGAACAGAATGTTAGTGTTTTGATACATGGATTGCAATAGCTAACCATGTTCGAGTAAGTACTGACTTGTATTTTATCAAAAGACATTTGGGTATCTAGGCTTTATAAATTTACTCAAATTATAAGCAGCCAGTAATCTTCTGTCACTGGTAGTTAACAGGCCTACAAATTTTTTGTTTTCCAGGGAGAGTCTTGCTAGGTAGCATAGGCTAGCCTCACCATTGCTGTCCTGTGCCTGCCTCCCATATGCTGGGATTGTAGGCATGGATCACCAAACCTGGTCTCATGTCAAGATTTTTAACTCTTTTTGTATAAACCTAAAAATTAGAGTCAGCTATTTTCTTTAATAATTAAGGTATTAATACTGAATTCAGACAGTTGGCAAAATAGAATGGCTTTATGGAAAATTGGAATTAGTATCTAATCTAATATTTATCTAAATTCACCAAACATTCACTATAAATGTATAGATAGAGAACATGATTTAAGATTGAAAATGAGTTGTTCCAACTATTTTATTTGAAGATTTTTTGCAAAAGGCTGGCTAAACAAAATATTTGTTCTTATGGGCTTTTTTTTAACACTTAAAATTGGACCTTCGACTAAAATATTGGTAGATTTAATGCTTTACATGTTTATTTTACGTGTATAAAATGTGTTTGGCCTCCCATGTATTTATATTCATTTACATGTAGTGCCCACCTGAGGCCGGAAGAGCATCGGAACCCCAAGAACAGGAGCGACAGCTGCTTGAGAGCTGCCGTGGAGGTGATGGGAACTGAACCCAGGTCTCTACGAGGCTGCTGCTCCAGCCCTGTATACAGTTAATTTTTAATTCAGTGTTTTGAAAGCATATATAAGACTATAGCTTGTAATTCAGTTTATGTATTTGAGGACATTCTTATCTAGAAATAGTGCTGAGATCTGCCCTTTTGATGATAATGTATTTCTACATGGTCATGAAAAAACCATGGAAGTTAGTGTTGAAGTAGTCCTCTTTGAAACTTGTGTCATTAAGTAACTGTGTTCAGTTCATTTGTATGTGAGTACAGTAACTGGTCTGTGGTGATGTCTGTATTTTATGTATTTCAGAGTTTTGTTGACTTAGATCAAAAGGAAGACAAAAAATAAAGGTTTATAATACTTGTAATGCAAACCATCTGGTTATTATACCTGAAATGAAGAATAAGATAAACATCAAGAATTTTTACTCTTTTGGGGTAATCATTGAAGTGCCTCATCTCAAGTGTAAATGGCCTCATCCTATTTATATTTGACTACTTGAAAAAATAGGTTAAAGTAGCTTCACATTTGCAAAGGATCAGACATCAGATTTTTGTTGTTCATATGACTTCTGTAACTTTGTTGCAACATACAGATATTCTATCATTCAGGTTATAAATTGTGAAGAAAGCTAGTAGGAAACTTAAACTTTTGTGTGCCACAAGTTTTATTACTACAGAAGATAAAGATGCATAGTTGACATTTAAAACATCAAGCTAAAAATACTATTTTCTGTTAAACTAAAACAGTACATATATATATATATATATATATATAGTTGCATGTAAATATATGTATACACATATATAAAATATTTACATGTAACAATTTTCCAGAAAACAGGAAGAATGTGTAACCTTGGTTATTAACACTAGCCATCCATTAGTGTTTTCTAGAAAACTAGTATATTAATTAGCTTGTTTTGTCAAACTGTATTATATTTTGTCAAACTATGTTTGTCAAAAAACCAATCTCTTTGTATGCACCTTGTATTTCACATCAAGGTGCCTAGCTCAGACATAACCTGAAATACTCAGTCAGCAGAAACAGTGTTACCATAGGAAAATTTTGTCAGAGGAAGCCTAAGAATAAGACAAGCACTTGTTACTGCACTCTTGTGTTCGTATTGGTCCTTTAGAAATGTGCTTTGGCTGTCTTGCTGTCAGGTACCAAATTGCCCCCCTCTTGGTATATGAATGTATTGGATGGAGATAGTCACTTAGCTGTCTGCCAACCATGTTTGTCTAAATGATTAAAGATGTATAAGGTGTCTTTTCTGGTGTTCATAGTTTTTGCTTAGTGCACATTTAATACAGGCATTTCTTTTATGGCTACCATTAGTTCTTTAGTTTATACTGAGAATCTTGAGACCCCAATGTAGGATGAGATGCAGTCTTATATATGTGACAGGGAGTTGCCCCCATCAAATATTAACAATATGGTCACCTGAACAAGACTTGCACAATGACATCACTGGTTGACATGCCAAAATGTGATGAGGGAATCTTACAAGGCCCTATCTCTAAAAGAAAAGCTGCTAAGAATCAATCTTATCCAGAGAAAAGCCTCTTTTGGGTTTATGTGTGTTTCTCTGTGTTTAGGGTTAACACTCAGGATTGGTCAGTCCCAATAATCCAATCCCAAGTGGTCAACCATAAACAACGTAATCTGAGCATCACTAAATGGACTTGTCAGGTTGTATTGATGTATACATATATGTATATGTGTATATGTCTTGGTTACTTTTCTATTACTGTGAATATCCCTGACCAAGGATGTTATCAAAGAGTTCATTGGGTTAACAGATTTTGAGGGTGAGTCTGTGACCCTTCTGTTGGGAGCATGGCAGCAGGCAAGCAGGCATGTTGCAGGAGCAGGAGCCGAATGCTTGCTTACATCTGATCCAGAAGTATGAGGCAGAGACATTAACTAGGAATGGTGTGGACTTTTGAGATTACACCGGGAAAAAGAAAGGATTACATTACAATCTAAAAATATAAGGTTGCTGATCTGTACCTTGTTTGAATCAGTACTAATCAATACCTTTGGTTTCTTTATTATACCAAAGAAAATGACTCTTTTGTCTGTAGTTTCTTAAGTGCTTATATATGAAATTTTCAGTGTCTTATTTGTCTATTCACCTCATTTGATTCATGTTTGAGAAATATTGATCCAGGGGGAACTGGAATTTCCTCTTGAAGTTTTTAGTCTCATTAATAAAATAAATTTTGTATATATATTTGTTGGTTTATTTATTTGAGACAGGGTCTCACTATGTAGGGCTGCCCTGGAACTTAACTGTTGTAGACCAGGCTGGCCTCAAACTCACAAGATCCGCCTGCCTCTGCCTCCCAAGTGTTGGGATTAAAGGGGTGACCACCACACCTGTCATAAAACACATTTTGTAAAAGGAGTATGAGGTAAATTATTATGGAGATGCTCTTTAGTGACCATGACCTAGGAACACAGATTTAGGTTACCTCAAATTTCATGTTTCAACATGGATGCCTTTTTTTGTTGTTGTTTCAGGGAGTTTTATAGCTTTACAGAACAAAGAAAATCATAAATCATGGCAAGTTTAAAATACATTTGTGGTTTCATTAATAAAAGGATTGAAGAATGGGCTCCAGTGTATGCTCAAGGACAATTTTATTAGAAGTTAGAAGAAAGACAAGCCGGGGACAGGAAAGTTATCAGCTCCCCAGAGAACAGAGGCGTTAGAAAAGCTGTATAGTAACTGATGTGGGGGTCAGACACAGACAGCTGCATGGTGGCGAGGGAGACTTGAGAGAGTAAGGTGGCCAAAAAGGTTTGGGGGACCCAACGTATTAAAGCATGCTTAGGAAGGATGCAGAGGGAAGAAAAGTTCGTGTTCGGAATGATTCAGAAAAGCGGGCTGACATGGAAAGGTTGAGTGCTCACTAAGTGATGCCATTTGTTCCTTCTATCTCGAGAGTTTCTGTCCTCTCCTCGGGGCTGCAAGTGGCGCCCAGCAGCAGGCTCGAATATTTGAATGCTTCCTCCCCAGCCGGTGGACTGTTGGGGAGGATTATGAGGTGTAGCTGTATTGGAGGAGGTATGTCCCTGGGGGTGGGCTTTCAAAAGCCCTTGCCAGGCCAGCCTCTGCCTCCTCATTGTGGTGGGTCACTTCTAAGCTCACAGCTGCTGCTCCAGCACCATGCCTGCCTGCCTGTGCCGCCCCCTTGTGGGTCGGTTCTAAGCTCTCAGCTGCTGCTCCAGCACCATGCCTGCCTGCCTGCTGCGCGCTCCCCACCTATCTGATGCTCACGGGCTCACCCTCCGAGCAAGTCTCCAGTTAACGTGGTTTCTTTCATAAGTTGCTTTGGTCACGGTATCTTTCACAGCAATAAAAAAAGCCCACTGCGCTGCCCAGTGACTGCACCGGTACACAGCACACGTGCACAAAGGCCTGTCTGTGTTGCCTAGTGGGGAGGCTGGGCTGTGGCACGTGCATATCGCCAGGTAGCATCTCGGATATATCAGTCACAAAACATGCATCTGTGCCATCACACGGCAGCACTGTACATAGTTAAGCGAACAGGAGTGCCATGCCACGGGGCTGATACATAGCAAGAATAGGAACATGCCACCATGTGGCAACACTGGTGTATGGCAGGCACATGAGTAGGTGCCCATACCATCACACAGTGGTGCTGGGACATAACAGGCATGTGAACAGGCATGCTGTACCATGGTGTGTGGAGGTGCTGGGACATGGCAGGTACTCAGACATGCATGCTTGCACCTTCACGTATGTGGACACAGCAGATACGTCAACAGACATGACCATCCTACCATTTGCCATATCAAGCATAGGGACAGGCCTGACCCTATTGCTACCTGCTTGTGCTGGGACATGACAGGCATGCAAACAGTACCTGTGCTGCCAAATGGTGACATAGACAGGGCAGGCATGTCACAGGCATGCAAACAGACATGCCTATGGCAGTGCTGAACATGGTAAGTGTCCAAACAAAATTGTTGTACTACTGTGTGATATTACTTAGACATACATGGTAGATACATGAGTAGGTGCATTGCCTAAGTTGCCCTGTGCAGCCCTGGGACCTGGCATGTGTGCAAACAAGTGTGCCCATGCCACCAGGGGCAGATCAGTGACACCACAGGATTCCAAAAAGGAAAGCCAGCACTACCATGTGGTGGCATTGGAAGGTTGCATGGGTACATGCAGGTGTGCACGCAGCACCATGTGCCACTTCAAACTTTACATACATGTACACAGGCCTGCCCATGTGTTGATGCTGGAACACAGTGCAAAAACAGGCATACTGCCCCATCAGGTGGTGGCGCTGGGATGCAGTACTTACTGACATGAACACACAGGCCACCACTTGTCAACACTAGGATGTAACAGGCACACAAGCAGGCGTACCTACAATGTCACTTGATGTTGGCAGCCTGGTTGAATGGCAGGTGCATAACCAGGAGTGTCATGCCATCACATATTGGCATTGGAGCATGGCATGTGCCTGAATGTGGATGCCTGTGGATACACGTTGGCAATGGGATGTAGCAGATGTGCAATACAGGTGTTCCAGCATCACAACATGGCAGCGTTGGAACATGGCGTGTTTGCCAACAGGCATTCCTGCACCACCATGCGGTAACTCTAGGACGTGGAAGACACGTGAACAGGTGTGCCCATTCTAACGCTTGGCTGTGGTAGAACCCAGAAGACACGCAGACATTCACGAGTGTGCCATGATGTGGAAGGACTGCAACACCACAAGCATGTGAAATTGCATGTCTGTGCCACTGTGTGAGAGCACCTGGACACAGGGCAGGTGTGAACAAGTGTCCCTGCACTGCCGGGGCCAGTGCTAGTGCATGACAGGCACAGACAGGTGTACCCATGAGGCCAGGTGATGGTGCTAAGATGTGGCAGGCGTGTAAACAGGTGTGCCCACACTACCACATGGCAGCCTTGGGAAATGACAGATTAACAAAAAGTAGTGCCATGCCGCCACATGATGGTGCTTGGACATCACAGCTGTAGGAACAGGCTTGCCAGTGCGGCCATACATGAGTGCTGGTACATGGCAGAGTCGTGAACAGGTGTGCCTGCACCAATGCATGGTGGCACTGGTACATGGCAGATGTGCAAACAGGGCCCCCCATGCCAGCAGGTGACTGCACTGGTACACAGAATGCGTATGAACAGATGACTTGCTGCCCCCGCAGTCAGCCCTAAGACATGGTAGGCACGTGAACAGGCATGCCCAAGCCACTAGGTGGTGGTGCTGGGACACAAGAATGCCTAAAAACAGGCATGCCCATGCGGCCATGTGTGGGGCTCAGAAACAGCAGGTGTGTGTGTGTGTGTGT